GTTAGGAATTTTCGTGGACGGTCGAGAAAAGCTTGTATATGAAATTTCAAGTAAATCGGTTGAATACTTTCTTCAAAATGTTCAAAAATGTAAAACAGGCCCCCTAAAAAGTGCAGTTCCCGAGGCCTGATATATCCCAAAAGTTGATCAATCCATGCCATGGTGGAAATAAACTTAGATATAAAATTTCATCAAAATCGGTTCAACAGAACTTGAGATACACGCGTGCACACACAGACCGACAGACCGACAGACCGACAAACCGACAGACTGACGGACCGACAGGTTGCTAAAAATAGTTTACTTACACTTCCCTACTATGGAGAAGTGCATTCGCACCGAAAACTCGATATGCAAAATTTGTTGCCATCACATAACCTACCTATTGTTTACACAATACGGTCGGTAAAACAGTTGCTGCAAAGTAGTATTGATTTTTATGCTTAGTAGTATTTACAAATGTATTTCGTACAGAAAGCTCTGCGTTTAAAGAACTATAAATTAAAACGCATTGTTTTATGCAGAATACATTTAAAACTACAAATACAAGGTTTTGCATTAAGACCTGCGAAATCTCGACTAAAAGTAAATTGTTAAAATTGTTTCTAAGCAAATATTGCGGTTTGTAAAATATTTGTTCAAATATTGTTTCTATTGTTTACAGTTTTCTGACAAAACGAAAATTGCCTTGCGAAATAAACTTACATATAAAATTTCATCAATAAATTAGTTCAATCGAACTTGAGATAAACGAATACACACAAACCGACAGACCGACAGATTGCCAAAAATAGTTTATTAGACTTTCCTGCTATGCAGAAGTGCGTTCCCACCGAAAACTCGATTAGCAAAATTTGTTGCCATCACATAATCTACCTATTGCGTACACAATGCGGTTGGTAAAAACTTGCCGCATCACTCAGTCTTCTTTCGAAATACATATTTTGCATAGAATTCTTATTCGTTCAGAATGGATTGTTTATATAATATCTCAAAGGAAATACAGAGGAATGGAATATGAAACAATATCTTGTAATGAATTTTTTTTCTGTGGTTATGTTCTCTAATTCCACTTATTGGTAATATATTATGGCAAATGAATGAACCAAAGCAACCGTTATTTAAAAATTGAAAAATATGCAGCGTCATCCGTGGCTCCCATACACAATTTTATTGCAAACATTTAATTTATTCGGAATTATCCATAAAATGGACGCGTTATGCGTCGTACAGAAATTCCTTATTTTGACAGTAGAATCCTGAAATTTAGTTGAAGTTCTTTGTTCACCGATTTTGACAGACCGCACTTACGCATTCTGCAATTCTATTTTATATATGAACTAAGTATTCAAAAAAATTATGGATCTTTTAATGTATACGTACTTTGACTTATTGCAAGTTTAAATTTATCAGAACCTTTACGGCGTACCGAAAAAATAGCTAGGCGTTCAATTGTGTTCTAATTGCAGGAGTGATGTTCATATAAAAATATATAAAACATTAATATTAATTTTCTAGTTCCAAAGGATGCGTTTATAAAGTAAAAATTCGAATCCGCCATGGTTTTTGCGTGCAAATTTAACTTTTTCATAAGAAATATGAAAATGATCCAGCGATGCAATTGATTTTTAATCACAAACTAAGGTTAAAATTTTTAAAATGTAAGATTTTACAAACTTATGTACGTTACCGAAATTTTCGAAAATTAAAACTATTTAAGGTTGTCAAATCCTTCATAATACAATGTTTGGGCTTTTTCTAAAAACCCTGAAAATATGCAAGATTAACAGAGTTCTTTTCAAGTAAGATCTTTTATTCATGGAATTACATTGCGATAAAACAAAGAGTAGCGGTACTCGTATAATCGGAACGTAATCAAAAATGTGAATCGGTACAGCATCGACGCAAAAAAAGTTACGGATGTTATGCTGATGTTTTAATACTTTCTAAATCATATGTCTTTTGGTGTCCATTTTGAAAAGGTTTCGTTTAAAAGTATAAAATTAAGTATTAAGTTTAGGAAATTTTAATATAATAAAACATTTAAAAATATTAATACAGTCCAATTTTTACTTTTTTTAGTTAATTCATTATTAGAAATTAATATTATCAAAAAATAATTAACTTTATTAGTTATTTATTTAAAATAATAAATTATTTTTTTCTTAGTTTCCATTTCAAAAACTTTGCATCAATACAAAATCACAAAAAAAAAAGCATAGCTGATTTAATGTGATACGCATACGATTCGAATTGTTAACATAATATTTGCACACCAAACTTTTAGATGATTTTATATCGATGCTGCGTAACTACTTTCGTATTAGTATTAACGTAGTATTCTCAATTAAAACGTGTTATTGGCAATAAACATATCAAAACTAAAAAATAACAAACCAAACAAGGTTATTTCTCAAAATAAAAATAAAAAATATCTGATGTGCTCAGCACATAACCGACCGCATTGTATATTGTCTAGTCAAGTGAAAGGGTTACATAATATTATAAAAATGTCTTTTAAATACTTCTTTCCAATTTTTAGGACATTAGTAAGCTTATAGTTAACTTGCCTAGAAAAATGTAAATTTGGCTCTTAGTAGAGTTTCGCTTTGTGCTACCGGAATTCCCAGAAATGCTCGCCAGTTAACCAGAACTCAAATATTAAATTTCAAAAATTCCATCGTAGATATGGTGAAAAATGTAAAATCGGCCCGCAAATTAGTTTTCGAGCCCTGACCTTTCCAAAAAATTTATATGTTCATTGTTTTGATACAAGGAATTCAAATATTAAATTTCAATGAAATCGATAAATTATTTCTCTTTATATATGCAAAAATGTATATTTGGCCCGTAGTAAACGTGCAGTTGCTGATGACTGATTTCTTTCAAAAGTTAGGAATTTTCGCGTACGGTCGAGAAAAGCTTATATATGAAATTTCAAGTAAATCGGTTTAATACTTTCTTCAAAATGTTCAAAAATGTAAAACAGGCCCGCTAAAAAATCCCAGTTCCCGAGGCCTGATATATCCCAAAAGTTGATCAATCCATGCCATGGTGGAAATAAACTTACATATAAAATTTCATCAAAATCGGTTCAACAGAACTTGAGATACACGCGTGCACACACAGACCGACAGACCGACAGACCGACAAACCAACAGACCGACAGACCGACAAACCAACAGACCGACAGACCGACAGACCGACAGACCGACAGGTTGCTAAAAATAGTTTACTTACACTTCCCTACTATGGAGAAGTACATTCGCACCGAAAACTCGATATGCAAAATTTGTTGCCATCATAGAGATCTTGAAATTACTTTTTATGAACTGCTACTGGATAACAAAAGACTTAAAAAGTAACACTGTGTCTAATTCAAAAGTTCGCTCCATATTTTGAAAAATTAAAAAAATTTTTATTATCAAAAAATCAGTTTTTGTTTTTTTTTTTCTATTTGAATTATTTTGATAAATATTTTTAAACAGAGTAGCATGAAAATGTCAAAAGTTACGCCACTTTAGGCCAATAAAATTCCTGAAGTAATTCTTAAAAAAAAGATTAAAAACCGTAAAACTTCCACAATTTTAATGTTTTTTTTGCTTTTTACTTATTTCAGGCATGCAATAGCATGCACACATAGCAGTATATGCACATACAGTTAAAGGCACACTGCTATATAAGAAAATATCAATAAGTACATACAACTGACATTTTTAAAAGCAAAATAACTACATACATCATGTTTACTTGTGTACATATAAAACAGATATACATTTTATACCTAATAAACATTTGCTTACACATTTGTACAGTCTGTAACACCATTACTTATATATTTTTTGCTCTACAATTGTTTTTTAAATTCTTAGTAAAAAGCAAAAAAAAATTAAGCTGGGTCAAACCAATGGTTGGTCTTGTAGCACTTTTCCCTTCAACAAGTGAAAATACTGCTTTTAAATACAGTCTATGTATAACTACCAAACTATTAAAATTATTTTCATTCATAACCGAAACTATTTCTAGGATTGCATATATTTAGGATGAACGATTTATGCAGTCTTTGAAATAAAGCATAAATTAATATAAAGAGGGGTTAACATAATGCTCGATTGCGTGAGTTAAGAAAAATAATTATATTTTTGAATGTCATGGAATTTACCGTTAGCTACTTGCGTTTATAGAAATTTGAAAAAGCTTACGGTTTCGGAAATATAAGGCGTCAAAAATTCAAATTTTAAAAATTTCAATAGGCGATACATTGAGAGGGGGTTGAGATGGAAAAAAAAAATTCTTCTAACGAAATAAACTATTTACTTGTGTTCAAAAGCTGCTAAACATTCAAACTACAACTTGGAGTCTAGAAGAAAAACGACCTCAAAAATTTGGAAAAAACGGATTTTAGATAACTGAAAATTTGAATAGCCATTTTGTTTTTTTAAAGTTCAACTATAATATGCCGGAATAGGAGAACCAAGCCACTGCCTTTCTGCGTTTGCGAAATTAGAAAAATGCTTATGGTTTCACTGCAATAAATAGTTAAAAAATGGAATTTTTAGGGTTTTGAGGCGCTACAACTCCTAGAAGGGGAGAGATAGGTAAATATTTTCTTTTACGAAAATAAGTTTCTTGTAAAGATCTATGTACATATAAAATTTCAGCTTTCTATCTTCAAGAGTTTAAAAGTTTTGTTAACATGTAACATGAACGGAAAGACAGAGTGAAACCTATTGAGCACTTTTTTTCAAATTTTTTTTGGAAAAGTGCTAAAAAGAAAGATATTATATTATTATACTCCTCTACTCATAACTCACAGAGAGTAAATTATTTTTGTTAGTGTTTTTACATGTAATACTTTATGTTCTGCCAATGTTTGGTCCCCGATTATGAAATTTTTTTGTTCGTGTTAAACTATCTTGTAATTATAACTTCTTTGATATAACTTAAAACACTTAAAAAATTTTGGTAATTACAAACTTTTTTTAATATTCTGTTTACAGTAATACAGACAAAAAACCAGATATGAATAAACTAATTCGTCAAGTATCAATTGAGTCACCGGCAACTCAGAGCAAAGATTGTGTATTTAGTTTTTCGGTCCCTGTACCAGATACACCACCAAAAGGTGCACGAATTAAAATTGTATGTGCTGGTGCATGCTATCGCCGAAATCGTTCATCATCTATAACGTCAATCTCATCTATATCATCAGATCTGAGTGACTATACAGGACCAATAGGTTTGCAACATCAAACTTCAATCACATCAACAACATCTTCATCACCATGTCACATATCGGGTGTTCGAGATGGTGCATTATTTCCTGGTTTCGAGGTAGCTGGTACAATTGAATCTCTTGGATCTGATGTTATTACTAATGAATATGAATTGAAAGTTGATCAACGTGTTGTTGTGTATCCATTTGAAGATGCACCAAGCGGTTATGCTGAATTAATGGTTGTACCCGATTTAAAATACATTGTACCAATACCAGATACATTACCAATAAGTGTTGCAGCAATGTTACCGTCTGGTGCATTATTAGCAATGAATGCTGTTATATCTGCACAGGAAATAATTAATAAATTATTATCAGAACGTGGTAAAGATTCAAAATGTAAAATATTAATTGTTGGTACTGGTGGTTTAGCATTATGGGCTTGTCGTATCGCAAAATATCATTTTGGTAATTCTGATTGTAAAGATCGTGTTCAAATTACTGTTGCTAGTTTAAAAGATGAAGGCATTAAATTGGCACAAGAAATTGGAAAGTAAGTACCTAAAAAATGCTAAATTAAATCAAAAAGTGTATATTCATTTATTTTGTTTTGTGTATTTGGAAAAATTTTATTTTCTCTTTATTATTTACAAAAAAATTTTTTGTAAATATTATTAAGAATTTGAAATTGATTTGAGAACTTGAGATTCTGCACAGATGGGGTTTAAATTAATTTTACTAATTATTCAATTTTCAAAGGAAGACACTTCTTTAAATAATTAAATATATAATTTTCAAGAATAGAATTTAAGAAAATAATTATTAGTGTAATAAAGGTCAAAATAAAACCTTCTACTTTAAATGAAAAAAATTACAAATGCATAATTCTGAGTAAAAAAACTTAAAAAAATTTAGTTTGTGTTTATAGAATAAATTTTTGGTTATTTTTTTAATGTTTTGACCTCAGGTTTTTACTTAATAGACATTGTGTTATTATATGAAAATAAAGGTCAGAATACAGAGCACTACTTCTTGTAAAAAAAAGATAAGTCAGTAACGCCTAATAATTAGTAAATAGCGACGTAAGGAAAATTTATTGGAAAAAATTATGAAAAATTTTCAATTTCCTCTTAAATATCTCTCAAACAAAAAAAAATCTGATGTGGTCAGCACATAACCAACCGCATTGTGTATTGTCTAGTTAAGTGAAAGTGTTACAGAATATTATAAAAATGTCTATTAAATACTTCTTTCCAATTTTTAGGACATTAGTAAGCTTATAGTTAACATACTTAGAAAAATGTAAATTTGGCTCTTAGTAGAGTTTGGCTTTGCGCTACCCGAATTCCCTGAAATGCTCGCCAGTTAGTTTCGGTAACAACCAGAACTCAAATATCAAATTTCAAGAAATTCCATCAATTTGTTCTGTGGATATGGTGAAAAATGTAAAATCGGCCCGCAAATCAGTTCTCGAGCCCTGATCTTTCAACAAAAATTATATGTTCATTGCTTTAATATGAGGAATTCATATATTTAATTTCAATGAAATCGGTTGATTATTTCTCTTTATATACACAAAAGTGTATGTTTGGCCCGTAGTAAACGTCTAGTTGCCGATGCCTGATCTTTCCAAAAAATTTACATGTTCATTGTTTTAATACGGGGAATTCATATATTAAATTTCAATGAAATCGGTTGATTATTTCTCTTTATATACACAAAAATGTATATTTGGCCCGTAGTAAACACCCAGTTGCTGATGCCTGATTTCTTCCAAAAGTTAGGAATTTTTGCATATGATCGAGCAAAGCTTATATATGAAATTTCAAGTAAATCGGTTGAATACATTCTTCAAAATGGTGAAAAATGTAAAATCGGTCCGCAAATCCGTTTTCGAGCCCTGATCTTTCCAAAACATTTATATGTTCATTGTTTTAATACGAGGAGTTCATATATTAAATTTCAATGAAATCGGTTGATTATTTCTCTTTATATACACAAAAATGTATATTTGGCCCGTAGTAAACGTCTAGTTGCCGATGCCTGATTTCTTCCAAAACAAAGGAATTTTTGCGGACGGTCGAACTGAGCTTATATATAAAATTTCAAGTAAATCGATTGAATATTTTCTTCAAAATGTTCAAAAATGTAAAACAGGCCCGCTAAAAAGTGCAGTTCCCGAGGCCTGATATATACCAAAAGTTGATCGATCCGTGCCATGGTGGAAACAAACTTACATATAAAATTTCATCAAAATCGGTTCAGCCGAACTTGAGATACACGCGTGCACACACAGACTGACAGACCGACAGACCGACAGACCGACAGACCGACAGACGGTTAAAATAGTTTATTTACACTTCCCTACTATGGAGAAGTACGTTCCCACCGAAAACTCGATATGCAAAATTTGTTGCCATCACATAACCTACCTATTGTTTACACAATACGGTCGGTAAAAATCTGTATCAGCACTAATACATTGTTAAAAAGAAGTAATCATGGGTACAAATTGAACAAAATTCAGAAATTGCAGTTTTGAGACCATATAACACAAAACGAGATCGCTAAAAACCAAAATGTCACTAGATGTTTCTCATTCGACCATGTAAGGTATATTTTTATCATTGAGAATGTGTATTATAGAGTAATCTTTTAAGTAGGATTAACTTTGTAAAAAATTGTTAGAAAAGTACGAAATTTTTCATTATATATATAGCTACTTCTAAGGTGTGTAAAAGTGCGGGTACTTCTAAAAAGGCTGGAGACTTTGGACAAAAGGCATAAGATAGGGTTTTGAAATTTTATTGTTTTGAATATTATGTTTCGGTTGGAAGCTTTAAGAAAAATATGCATCCATTATTCGCTACCAGCAAGGCATAACATCTTAAGTCGTTTTTACTCACTTTTCAGTATGACGAAAAGAAGATTCAATTCAATGCTGCGTAAATTCTATCAGGGTCAGAGAATTTCTGAATACACGCAAAGAAAATAAATGGAGGACCGCTTTTTTGGATTAATAAACCGTTTCTTTAGCTTTACTGATTTTCGCTGAATTGAAGATTTAAGGACTTAAGATGTTATTGCAAAACAGGTTTTGAAATTTCTTTTTGACTGAGGATGTTTTTACCCGAATTAACATGTATTTTCTTTTTCTGTTTTATAATTTTTTGCCTTCTTAAGTCGACTTAAGATGTTTTTACTTTGCATTTTTGATCTTTTTTAAGACTTAAGATGATTTTACCAGCAATTTCCATACAATTATTACAAATTTTGTCTCATACTTCATACTAAGAAAAATGTATAATATTTTCAATAAAAAGTAATGTACATGAAATTTTTTTCTTCAAATTAAATATTACTAAAGTAATATACATAGTTTCTCACCTTTTTTTAAACTTCAAAAGAATTTCAAGCCAAAATTTAGTTAAACTTTCTTTGAAGACTCATTTATCGCAGGTAAATAGTAAAAAATATCAATTCTTTCACAGTTTTTGTATACCTATATAGACCTACTAAATAATATTTGCAACAAAATTGTGTATAACTCAAATGCTATATTGTAGGTACTTGAAGTCATCGTGTATACTACAATGTTCTATAGTGTCGTGTATTACCTGCATATGCATGTACATGACAATACGCATTACACTTGCATATGAGAATCAGCACACATTTATATATTCGCATTAGCATTTTATTATACTTTCTTCTGTTTCTTTTTATACCTACTTAGTTTTGTAAACGTTGCCCAAAAAGATATTGAGTTAAATTTTGTTGTCCCTTTGTATATAAAGTGTATTTACATATTCAAATAAACATTCAAACAATAGTGGAAAATGAATAAATTTTAGTTTATTTTAATAAACTGCCAGTTTGCAAAATAAAACCGCTTAATGTCTGTTAGAGGCACAGGCGAGAATTTAAAACTGCCTAATTTTGGCATATGTAACTACGGGGTGATGATTTTATCAGTTATGTTAAATAATTTATGTAAACAAATTACCTGTTCCAGTTTTAAGAATACAAACAGCTACGCAAGGTTTAGTAAATTGTTGAATGAAATAAAAACAAAGTTGGTTTTTAACATTTATGATCCTGGGTTTTTTTTAATTTGAAGACGCTTTGTGTGAATAACGAACTTACCTCTTTCTTAAACAAGAAATGACATGGATATTTTAACAATATTAAGAAACTATTGTAAAATAGTAAACTATTGCTTAAACTAATATGTTAGTTTATTAGCTATAGTAAGCTAATTGTATTTTTATATTAAAGTAGTTTTTGATACCTGCAAAAACTTACAAAAACACAAAGGAAAGCACAATATATTTATATTATCTGTTAAAATATTGTTACTTAATGCTATGACAATAATTAGTCTACATAATTCAATTTAATATCAGAAATATGACACCAAGTTCACATAAGATATGAAATGTAACGTGGTAATATTATCTTAAGTCACAAACATATTCCAAGAAATTCCGAAAAATGCAGAAGACAAAAGATCTTAAGTCGACTTAAGAAAACTGAATGAAACGTGAAAAGGCAAAACATCTCAAGTAGAATTGAGATGATTTGTCTTTTTGACAAATGGTGTATTTTAAAAGTTTTTACAAGTGAATTTCATCTTAAGTTGACTTAAGAAAGTAAAATTTCATGGTTTTGTAAAAAGTATAACATCTTATGTCAACTTAAGATTATTTGCCTTTTTAGTATAATTAAAAAAATATCAAAGGCATAAAAATAAAAAAGGCATAATATCTTAAGTCCGACTTAAGATATTTTGGCTTGTGAAGAATTGAACAATATGGACTTAAGATGGTTTTACCAGGTCCATAAAATAGAAACGGAGGGAGCTAGAGACACCCGAGTCAGTAGTCAAGATATAGATCTAGTATTCAAAAGTTCAAAAACGTCTGACAAGCCAAAACATCTTAAGTCGACTTAAGATGTTTTGCCTTGCTGGTAGCGAATTATGTATGTATGTATGTACTTAAATTTTAATTTTTTACTGTTCGACGAAAAATTTTAAAATTTTCAATTCTATACACACATATATCTCAGTTCCTTCTGTCGCTCAGCAACGGGGTGAAAATTTTCTCGAAGATCTATCTTCTTTTATTTTTTTTTATTCATTTTGAAATATTGTACTCAAAAGGAGCATTAAGCTCGTACAGAGTCTGTTTATAATACATTTTTTATGAAAATTTTTTTAATTAGCGGAAAAAAGATATAATTTTAAGTTAAACTGGAAAGTACAAAAGATTTATAAAAGAAAATCATATATCATAATAAAAATAAAATGAAAATGTACTATAATAGAACTAAATTACAATTAACAAAAAATTAGATTATTTTACTAAAGAAGGATTATTTTAAAATGTTGTTACATAATAATGTTAAAAAAAAATTTGTATACATACTCGTATATATATCAATAGATTTCTAAATTTTGTTAAGGTAAATATATTTTGTTGACTTTTTGAATTGCTCTGGATTCATTTGACGCATATTTTCAGGTAACTCGTTATAAAGTTTCGTTGATTA